CAGGAGGCTGAGGCAGAAGAATTGCCCGAACACAGGAGGCGGAGGTTGCGGTGAGCCAAGATCGCGCCATTGCACTCCAGCCTGGGTAACAAGAGCGAAACTCTGTCTCAAAAAAAAAAAATAATAATAATAATAATAATAATACGCAATGGTAGAAAGAGAGACTGTGGATGAATAAACATAGCTTGCTGAACACATTCAACTCAAAATAACATGGGAGAATACTCATGGGACGAAAGCTTTTACTGTATGATACACACAGCAGCAACACTTATCAGGAAGTCATATACTGCTACCTGCCAAACACTGTTGGATGAGAGCATGTGATATAGCATGCAGATTATAAGGAAGACTGTATTTATAGTCTAACAATATACTATGAAGGAAGGCTACATATTAATATATTTTTTAAATACTTCCCAAAAGTAACCCTATAAAAATATGAGCTTGTGGGCAAATAACAGGGCATGTTCCTAAAGGAATGTGCTTATTCATCAGGAAATTTTTGGACCAATAATATACCACAAAGATGAATGATTGGGAAAATGGCTTCATGGTATAGCTCTGAGTATGTATAAACTATAGGTCCAAAGTAAAATTGAGAAATGTATTACAAATACTCATTTTGCAAAGCATCTCTCATATCTGAGCATAGAGTAAAGATGTTCAGAAATCCAAACACTGGAAGCATTTACCTGAATTGCTGAATAATTCAATATTTGATATATTCAAAATATTGAATTATTTTAAAAGTTTCATTAAACAATTCAGGTAGATTGTGCCATTGCACTCCAGCCTGGGCAACAAGAATGAAACTCCATCTCAAAAAAATTCAATATTTTATGATTTAATATTTTTACAAACAGCCTTATTGAAATATAATTTACCTACCATAAAACCAATTCAGTACCCCCACAAGTTCCCCCATTTCTGTGTGCACTTAATATTTTCTTCTCCAGACCTAAGCAACCACTGTTCTCTACTAAATATGTCTTTTCTGAACACTTCATATGAATAGAATTGTACAACATCTGATCTTTTGCCTCTGGTTTCTTTCACTTAGCAAAATGTGTTTGAGGATTATTCCTATTGTAGCATGTATAGACTCCTTTTCGTTTCTCAATAGCATTCCATTGCATGGATATACCACATTTTACTTATCCATTTACCAAGATGGACATTTGAATTTTTCCTGTTTGTGGCTGTTATGAATAATGCTGTTATGTGTACATGATTTTGTGTGGACATATGTTTTCATTCCTTTTGAGTATATTCCTATGAGTAGAATTGCTGAGTGATATAGTAAATTATTTTCAACTTTTTAAGAAACTCCCAAACTATGTTCCCAAGAAGATTTACCATTCTACATTCCCATCAGCAGTGTATGATACTCTAGTTTCTCCACATATTGCTAACATTTAGCATTGTCTGACTTTTTTATTGTAGCCATTCTAGGGATGCGTTTTAATTTGAATTTTGATAATTATTAAGATGTTGAACATATTTTTATGTTTTTTTTGCCATTTATCTATTTTTCTTTGTTGACTGTGCATTCAAATTGTTTTCCATTTGTCTTATTATGGAATAGAGTTCTTCATATATTTTGTAAACAAGTCCTTTATCGGATATATGATTTGTGAACATTTTATCTCAGTCTGTGGCTTGTCTTTTCATTTTCCTAATGGTGTCCTCTGAAACACAAATATTTTTAATTTTAATTAAACCCCATTCATGAATTTCTTTTGGCAGTTGTGTAATTTGTTTTATATTTAAGACATTGTTTTGCTTTTTTTAAAAAATCTAGCTTGACAGTCTCTGCTTCTTTATTAGGAATTTAGATCATTCCTAAAGTGAATTACTGATATGGCTAGTTTTACATTTGCCACTGTATTTGTTTTGTGTATGTTTATTTTTTCATTCCTCTGGTTTTCCTTGACAGCCTTCTGTTGAACTAAATAAATGCTTTCTCATGTATCATTTTAATTCCTCTGTTAACTATTTAAATTTTTTTGTTATCTTCTTAGTGGCTGCTCTAGAAATTACAACATGAACCTTAACTTATTGCAATCTACTTCAGATTAATATGACCTAATTCTATTTCTTTTTCCTTTTTTTTTTTTTTTT